CTGTAATGCCATCAGCAAAAGGATTGGTTCCTGAACATCACCCACATTTCATTGGTACTTATTGGGGTGCAGTGAGCACAGCTTTCTGTGCTGAGATTGTTGAATCTGCAGATGCGTACTTGTTTGCTGGAACCATTTTCAACGATTATAGTTCTGTTGGGTACTCACTTCTTCTCAAGAAGGACAAGGCCATCATTGTTCAGCCGGATCGGGTTATCATAGGAAACGGGCCTGCGTTCGGGTGTGTGCTGATGAAGGATTTCCTTAGGGAACTTGCGAAGAGGATCAAACACAACCACAGTTCCTTTGAGAACTATGACAGGATATTTGTTCCTGAGAGAAAACCTTTGAGGGGAGAACCTAAAGAACCTCTGAGGGTGAATATTTTGTTCGAACATAATCAAAAGATGCTGTCTGGTCAAACTGCTGTTATTGCAGATACAGGGGACTCATGGTTTAATTGCCAAAAGCTGAAACTACCAAAAGGCTGCGGGTAAGCTTTGATTGAATGGGACAGCTTTTGAACATTTTGTTAGTGCTTGAACCTTTTTTTTTTTTTTGGTTCTGATAATGATGATGAGAATCTTTTGGAATGAACAACAGGTATGAGTTCCAAATACAGTATGGATCGATAGGATGGTCTGTTTGTGCCACCCTTGGCTATGCACAAGCTGTTCCTGAGAAACGCGTCATTGCTTGCATTGGTGATGGAAGCTTTCAGGTTGGTCTTATTCTGATTTCAACTTTAACACTTTAAATTATCCCTGTTTGGTACTGATTCAGGTGTTTCTCTGTTGTGTTTTTCAAAATGCTTTTGCAGATGACTGCACAAGAGGTATCTACAATGCTGAGGCAGGGTCAGAAGACCATAATCTTCCTGATAAACAATGGCGGATACACAATTGAAGTTGGGCCGTACAACGTGATTAAGAACTGGAACTACACGGCGTTTGTTGATGCCATTCACAATGGTGAAGGCAAATGCTGGACAACCAAGGTGAATCTCTCAGCATAGCACGTTCAATATTGCTCCTAAAATTCACCATTGATAACATAGGATACAGCTAATTACCCCCACCTCCCAAAAAAAAAAAAAAATCATTTTTCGGCCCCATAAGACAACTTCAAATTATTTAAACCAGACACTTGTGGTATTGCAGGTATTTTGTGAAGAAGAACTGATTGAAGCAATTGAGACAGCAACAGGTCCCAAGAAGGATAGCCTATGTTTTATTGAGGATATAGTACACAAGGATGATACCAGCAAAGAGCTGCTTGAATGGAGCTCCAGGGTCTGTGCTGCTAATAGCCGTCCTCCTAACCCCCAATAAAATTAAGTTAAAACCATTGCTCCATTACTAGAATGGTATTTAATTATTTAAATGAAGAGATTATGATATTTATTCCTTGTGATTTCTGTGTGATGGATTTTTCTTCCAATTAAAGGGCTTATGATTCCCAGTTTAATGAAGTATTCTAATATTCTAATGCTAAGCATCGAAGAGGGCTCAAATCAATCTCTCAGCACTAGATTTTGAGTTTCTAACGTCTATCATTTTACACCGAAGGTTTCATTTACAGGATTGTAATGCATGTTTAATGTTGGCCAGACTTCCTTCAATCACCAATTCACCACCCTACCTGTTTTTAAAAACACAAAGCATGCATGTATGATTAAAAAGAAAAGTCTTTTTCAGTTAAAACTTATGTTAATGTAGAGGGCTACAAGTCCAAGGGATTAATTATTTCTTGGGCGGAAAGGAGCATTGGCAACCAATTGTTTAACCTATGTGACATAATTATTAAGTCAACAGAAAATATTCAAGTTAAATAAATTAATATTTATTTAGAAAATTTGTTTATACCGTATATACTTTAACCTCAAATTTCAAACATAGGCTTATAGGCTCCCTCGCGTAATTTTGTTTCGGTCATTAAAGGGTTCGGAATGTCTCCACTCCAACGCTTCTCTCCATTTTGTCTCCGCTAAAAAAACAACCTCGTTCTAATAAAATTAATTTTTCTCATTTGTTTGGCTTAAAACTCAACGACGTTGTTTTTTGAGTAGGATGGTATCGCTGCATCAGGGTATCCCAGCACAACCGGCCAGACTAATCCCAGGTGCACTCGCAGGTATCGAGCCCATGACATAGTAGGAAAGGCGCCTTGCATTCCCGTTCGCGACCAGTCGGACCCGACCCTTGCAGGCAAACAATGTTGTTTTTCAAGTGGAGGGAAAATGGAGAGAAATTTCAGTGGAGAGGTTCTGAACCCGTCGTTAAGATACTCAATTATTTTTTTTTCAATCAACAAAAAATATTTGATATTAAATCAATTAATATCCATTTGGAAAATTATTCTATACTTTTCTATATTTTATCTGAAATTTCAAATATAGGTTTTTATACTACAAAATTTAATTAATATCTATTTGAAAATTTAGTCTACACCTTCCTATAATTTACCTCAAATTTCAAATTTACAAACGCTCTTGTACTACAAAAGCTTCATAATTTTTAACATGTTCGCATAGTTCGTGATACGATTTATTCAACTAGAAACATCTTCATTATCAATGGTCACTTTTTATTTTATTGGCGAAAAATCACTGAAGTTAACCACCTGAACCCACAAGTTTTATACTATGTTTGGATGGAGAGAAAATTAATAGAAAGAGAAAATGGAGGGAAAAAATAGGGGATGAAGAAAAATGGAGGGATAATATTATCTTTTAGTGTTTGGATGGAGGGAAAAAAAGAGAGAGAAAATAAAATGTACGGCGCTTACAATAACAACGATATCCTCATCTAATTTCTAATTTATTTTTTTAATTAAGTACTGCCATGAAATTATTAATAACAATCTTAATCATTTAAGTACCAAGTAAAACATCTACAGAGAGAGTAATAGCTGTAAAATGTGTTTTCTCCCCAAAATTTCTCACTGGGGAGAAAGGTTGGGTGTAAAATTGAGTATCACACCATTTTTTCCCTCAAATCTAAAAAAGAGAAAATGCATTTGCCTTTCTATTTTCTCGTATATTTTTCTCCTCTTCTTAATTTTCTCTCCATCCAAGTATCATTCATCTTCATAATTTTTCACGCCATGCATCATGCATATTTTTGTTTGGTCAGATGCTCCATGCGTAGCTTTTTTTGGTCCATCATTATTTGTGCATGCATCCTGGCATTACAAATACAGCACTAAAAATTCTTAAACAATCTGCCGGTACTTTTCTTTAACATTTCATTATTTGATTTCTCTTTCAAGTCAATTCCTTCACTTTTAACTAGCTTCCTGCTTCATGCCAAGTACACACCACTAAAGGCGTCCTTTTCCTAACGGGATTAGTGATTACGCAGGATAGAGCTCATTGCGCACCAAAGTGATATAAAATTGCCATTACATGCTTTTTGATCATAAAATATTACTGTTAGTTGGATAATAAAGTTACAAAAGACTTATTGTAGGTTGCAACTGCAGTCACTCGCTGAAGAGGAAAGACGCATAGAGTGTGTTTGGATTAGCAGTGTTAAAATTAACTTTTATTTTATCTGAATTTTATAAACATGAGTTAGAATAAAAGTTAGTTAGTATAATGTGATTTACGTTTGGATTGATATTATAAAAAAATCAGTTCGACAAGTTAAAACTTATTTGGATGTTTAATAAAAAAATAAGTTTAGATATAAAATGATTAAAAGGGACATGAACTTTACTCAATAATATATATTTATATTATGTGTTTATAAGATGATAATTGTTAGAGAATAATTAAAATTAAAATTATAAAAATAAAAACAGTTAATATTGAGAAAATTTTGAAAATAAATTTTAATTGATTAAATATATATATAATGGGTCAATATGAATATAGATTAAAATTTGTTGAAATTGAAGATTTTTGAATTAAATAATTTTCTTGTTAAGAATAACATAGTTAAATATTTTGTTTTATGTTATTTTAATTTAATTTCTTTTTGTCCCTTTTATTTATTTCTTTTTTCTCCCTTCACCAGATGCATCAATTGTGAATTTACATCAACACGGAAACGCGTGGAATCCTTATGCAGCACTCACTAGTCTTCAACTATGACCCGTTATTTCTATGTATTTTCCGCGAACTTTATTAGCTTCATTTACCAACTGTTTGGATCTCCGTCCAGAGTAAAAAATGTGCTTGGACATTGTGTAACGAGCGGTGCAGGGTCATTTAGGGAGAAGCATGTGCCTGGGATAACTTACGTGGAAATGAACTTTTTGGTCCTAACGAGCGGCACCAGTGAACCTGTTTTATGTTACTTTTAGAGAAAAAGCTCGTTCCTGCCGTGGAAAGACAAAATGTACAAGAGTTGGGGTCCATCTTTGTACTATAAAAAATCAAAAGATAGAATTTCTCTTAAAAAACCTAATAATTTAATTAATTTAATTTATTATTTTTAAAAAATTTATCAAATTGTATGTGTATGATATATTACCTTGACTCTTTAATATAAGATTTATGATCTCTCTAAAATACTTATATATATTCTGAATCTTTTCAAATTAGTTAACTAAATTTTATATAAAAGCTTATATTTTTTTAATTATTTTATATCTAAACTTACTTTTTCTTATCTATCTAAACAAGTTCTAACTTTTCGAGCTGATATTTTAAAAGTGTCAATCCAAACATAAATTATATTATACTAATGAACTTTTATCCTAATTGACTTTTGCAAAAGTATAGAATAGAAGTTAGTTTTGTCATCCTTAATCTAAACACTCGGACTTTTCGAGTTTACTCTGACGTTGCCTCACTAGTCTTCTACGGCATATATGCCTTTTCTTCTCAAGTGTCTTTGTGTTCTCACTCGTCTTTAGCAGCCAGACCCAACTCATACTTTGTACAGGAGAACGCTGAAAGCATGGCCGCAAAATTCATGTTCATGGTTTTGAGTCCCCTGAGGCCACCACTATTTATTTTTCAATTGTATGAGCCTTTCTAACACCACACTCCGATGAGATCATCATTAGTTTTATGGCCTTCCTTCTTTTTCTGTTGTTATTGGGCATGTCTTAGTTTCAACGTCTCTCTGGTTTGTGGGGATTATGTCCACTGTCTTGCCCAGCAGAAAATTTTGTTACTTCAATTCAAGAAAATCCTCAAATTCAACCCTGCTGATTCCAGCAAATTGTTATTATGGAATGAAAACAGCCCTTGCAATGAGTGGAGAGGCGTAAGTTGGGATGAGGAGGGACACGTTGCTGGTCTGGACCTGAGTGAGGAATCAATATCTGGTGGACTCGACAATTCTAATGCTCTGTTCAGTCTCCACTATCTCAAGCATTTGAATTTGGCTTTCAATAACTTCAATTCTGTGATTCCATCCAGAATCAAGGATTTGAAGAGCTTAACTTCTCTTAATTTGTCAAATGCTGGTTTCGTGGAGCAGATACCAATGGAGATTGCTCAGCTCACAAGGCTAACCATTCTTGATCTGTCTACTTCTTATTATTTAGGAGTATCATCTCTGAAACTTGAGAATCCAAATCTGGTGACGCTTGTTCAGAACCTCAGTGAAGTTAGAGAACTATATCTAGATGGCATTAATATAGCGCTCCAGGGAAATAAATGGGGTCATGCTTTGTCGTCTTTTCTACCTCATCTAAAGGTACTAAGCATGTCAAGTTGCAACCTATCAGGCCCCATCGATTCCTCAATGAAAAATCTTCAAAATCTCTCCATAATTCGTCTGGAACGGAACAATATGTCAGCCCCGGTGCCCAGCTTCTTTGCTAAATTCTCAAATCTTACCCATCTGGATCTCAGTTCTTGTAATTTGAGAGGTCGGTTTCCAAACAACATCTTTCAGGTACAGTCACTTACTTCTCTTGATCTATCATACAATTATGGTCTTCAAGGCTCTCTGCGTGAATTGCCTCAGAACGGATCTCTCCAGACGTTGATTCTAAGCGCTACAAGTTTCTCTGGAGCATTACCACCCTCCATTAGAAATTTATGGAAACTGTCTAAATTAGACATATCTGCATGTCAATTTAATGGAACACTACCAGATTCAATGTTGGATCTCCCTGAGCTCACTTACTTAGACTTGTCATATAACAACTTCACGGGTACAATCCCATCATTTGGTATGGCCAAGAAGCTTATTCACATAGACCTATCTCAAAATAATTTAAACGGTGGAGTTTCATCGGCTCATTTCAAAGGCCTCGTAAAGCTAGTCAGCATCAATTTGCAGGACAATTCCCTCAATGGGAGCATTCCTAGGTCTCTGTTCTCGCTCCCATTGCTACAAAGTACACAGTTCTCCAACAACCTCTTTCAAGGTCATATGGATGCGATTTCAAATGTCTCTTCCTCCATGTTACAAGTTCTTGATTTAAGTCATAACAATTTAAGAGGTCCTATCCCTCAGTTTATTTTTCATCTCAGAGGACTCAAGGTCCTCCAACTGTCTTCGAACAAGTTCAATGGCACAATACGACTGGATATGTTTGAGAGACTTCAAAACCTAACTACATTAGATCTTTCAAACAACAACTTATCAATTGATGCAAATATTAAAGATGCCAACCGGTCATCCTTTCCCAGCATAACTAGTTTGATGTTGGCATCTTGCAACTTGAGACAATTCCCAGGTTTCCTGAGAAATATGTCCGGATTAACCAAGCTAGACCTCTCGAACAATAAAATTGCAGAAAAAATACCCAGGTGGATTTGGGAGCTGGGCTATCTTGGTCAGTTAAATCTTTCTCACAATTTACTTCAGGAGATAGAAACAATCCCATATAATCTTAGCTCTTACAGTAAGTTGTATGTACTTGACCTTCATGACAACTACCTCCAAGGTACACTTTCAGTGTTTCCTACGTTGGCCTCTTATTTGGATTATTCTTTCAATAAATTCAGCTCTGTTATTCCCCCTGACATTGGTAACTCTTTGTCTTTCACAATTTTTCTTTCTCTGTCGCACAATGCTCTTTATGAAAGGATTCCTCTTTCCATCTGCAATGTTTCAAATCTTCAAGTGCTTGATCTTTCCTACAACAACCTTAGTGGAGTGATTCCACAATGTCTTGCGAAAAGTGAGACTCTTGGGGTATTGAATCTAGGGAAAAACAATCTCAGTGGCAATATTCCTGATACTTTTCCACCTTCATGTGTCCTCAAGACTCTCGATCTTAGCAGTAATAATTTAGAAGGGCCGCTTCCAAAATCTCTGTCCAATTGCACCACATTACAGGTGTTAGACATTGGAAAGAACAAGATAAAAGATCAGTTCCCATGCTTGTTGAAGACAATACCTACACTCCGGGTCGCGGTTTTGCGGAGAAGCAATTTCTATGGTCCCATTGGGTGTCCAAAGATGAAGAGAATGACCTGGAAGATGCTTCAGATTGTTGATCTAGCTTTCAACAATTTTAATGGAACGCTGCCAGGACGGATTTTTCCTACTTGGAAGGCAATGATGCTTGACAGAAATCAAACAGCATCAAAGGCACATCAGCTTGACTTCAGCTTCTTTGGATCGAGTGATCATTACCATAAAAGATCAGGAAATGACCTTGGCTAAAATTCTAACTGTCTTCACGTCCGTTGACTTATCATCCAATCGTATTGAAGGGTCAATACCAGAAGAGATGATGGATTTTACAGCACTCCTTGGGCTCAACTTGTCAAATAATAATTTTGTGGGCAAAATCCCATCATCCATAGGGAAATTGGAAGAGCTTGAGTGGTTGGACTTGTCAAACAACTCTTTTACCGGAGAGATTCCACCACAACTTGCAAATTTGTCTTTCCTTTCAGTTTTGAAATCTCCTCTAATCATTTCGTGGGAAGGATCCCTATAGGTACACAGCTCCAATCATTTGACTCATCTTCCTTCCAAGGCAATGATGGTCTTTGCGGGCCTCCTTTGACCCGATGTGCAAACCGTGGGGCACAACGGCCAAGGCCACCACCAACGCCTGGAAATAAGCACTCAATTAACTTTGACTTGATCAGAGGTCTGGAATTCGGTGTGGTATTCGGCCTAGGAATTATTATTGGGCCCCTTTTCTTTTGGAAGCGGTGGAGGATAAGGTACTGGAAGTCTGTGGACTGCATTCTCTGCAGCATCTTTCCTCAAGCTTATTTTGATTATGAAATACGTGAAAGGCAATGGTTCAGAGCCCTTCGGTGGAGCCGTTAAGAAACAGGCCTCGTTCAACATGGTAAGCTAGCCCCGCACACTTGTATACATGAGGTAAACCATATGAGACTTATCATCTTCCTTTCTATCCTTAAAATTTATACAAATCTTTTTCGAAATCAATTTGCATAACATACATTTTTCTGTTATTTTTACGATTTTATTTCTATCTATCCAACCATTAATTTGACTTTAGTTTTTAAAAATTTAATTCATATATTTTTTAAACATATTTTAAATTTGTGAATTATGTAAAAATTATTTATTATGTAATATTTGAATTATAAATACACAAATTAGCCAAAATAATATTCCAAACACAAGTAAAAAAGAACGTAATGAAATATGAATTTCAATAATACGAGGGACAATTTAGTCAGTATATCCTATGTTTATTTTTCTTTAGATTTATTAATTTTAATACAATTTTTTGAAAATTATTTATTTAAATATTATCATAATTATTTATTTACGGTTCTTTAAATTGGAGAGGGGGGAGTAGACATTAGACAATTAAATTATGAGGATAAATTAATAATTTTAAAATTTTTAACATATCTACAAATAATAAAATCTAGTATTTTAATTAGGATCTTTATCGGAATATTCACTGCTTAATTAGACTGAATTGTAGATTTTAAAAATAGGAGGCAGTCTTTGTAATTTTGACAAAACAAAATGGAGGTCATTGAATATGACTGGATTTTCCCGCCTCTTTCCTAACTAATTGGTTAAAACGAGTCCTTGAATTCGTTCTTCAGTGCTCACGTGATCCTCACATGATAGTATTATTGTCAAGTAACTTAATTACATAGGCTTATCCATGTGATGAGGAACGACAGAACATAATGATGAGATGATATTATATAAATTTGAGTTTTAGCAAATGAGATCGTATTAAGATCTTAGAAGAGCACATGTGAAAATATAATACTACTTCCGATCCTAATTATAAAACCTCGTTTACTGTTTATAAACGAAGTCTTATAATTAAGACTGGAGGTAGTATATGATTTAAGCTATGATATAAACGCACATATTGGAGCTTCACTTGGTAAAATTCTATTTATATCTTTTTCTGCCTTTAAATTCTATTTATATTTTAAGAAAATCGAATTATCCATTTATGCATTTTTAGGAGAAAGATGTGAAGATGTATTATAGAACAATTGCTTTTATTTAGTAAATATCTGTTCAAGCATTACTTCTTTGGCTGGCCCCCATCGTTGTATGCTTGTCTGTGTGTATGTTTGTTTGCACTCGCAAGAATTGAGCCTTCATCATGTAGAGAAAAGCCATATATACATCGTCTAAACTCTCTCTCTCTCTCTCTCTCTCTCTCTCTCTATATATATATATATATATACATATATTAGTGTATTTTAGAGATATTTCTTAGCATTAACTTGAACCGATAATTTTTTTAAAAAAATTACTGAAAACAAAATATGCAATAGTAGTCCAAACTTAATAGTGGTGTTAGTTTATAATGATATCAATTATCTAATTGTTTTTAATGTCTTAAATTTTAGATGAAGTTAATTATCTGGAGTGGCATATCCAAATATGGGCATGGCTTCATCAACAAGAGAGACCAATGAAGATGAAATCTGATTTTATATATGTTGTAATCATTTGAATTTAATAAATTTGACATGCTCGAAGCTTTGGTGAGATATGCATTAATCGTATTTCTCTATGAATCTGTATTGTACCTGAATTATGGAGATGGTGTTATTAATATGTCAGCTTTCTGATATTTCATAGAGTGATGATCTTAATCAAAGTTGTCAAACTTACGAATTTAAACAAACTCGTGATAATGATATAAATTTAAATCATAAACTTAAATTGTGAACTCGTAAGAGTTTACTTTTATTAATAAACTGGTATTAAAAGTATATAATCAAATAATTAATATATAAAAAATGAGAACAATTTCATTTAAATATATTTTAAATTTAAATAATTAAAATTATATCAATCAATGTTCATAATTTATCATATTCAACAAAAAAATTTCTATAAAATTCATATATAAAGTCACTAAACATAATCAAATTAAAAAATTTAGCATGAATTTAAGAGCGAGTTGACACGATTTTGTAAGCTAAAAACGTAAAAATAGTAAACTTGACAAATGAACTCGTAAGTTTAACTGAGTTTACCGTTATTATGACTTTAAGAACGAGTCGATACGATTTTGTTAGTTGAAAACGTAAAAACGTTAAACTCAGAGAATTAATTCGCAAGTTTGACAATAGTGATCCTAATCTTGTATTTCCTGCAACATATTTTCCGAAATGGACTAATAATAAAAACTAAAAAGCCACACATTTTAGTTTTTATTTATATGTCATATTTATTTCTTTTTTTGGGTCATCTCTTCTTGATTACGGGGTTGTTTGGATGAAACCAAACCATGGTTTGGAAAATAACTTCTGAAGAATAGATTCTGAGAAAAATAGTTCTAAAAAAGTGATTCTGATAAAGTGAGAGTGTTTGGATAGTTGTTGTCAGAAGCACTTTTCATATGTACAAATTACTAAAAAAGGCATACAAATATGATAACTACATAAAAGATAGATTTTATAATATATTTTAATTTGAAGGAATAAAATTGTTAATAATATATTTTTTACCAACATAATTAATAATATATAAAAATATAATAATAAATAATTAATATATGTATATATATATTTATAAAAAAATGATTAAATATGTTTATAGAAAAATGAATAAAAAAGTGCCGTAATAATTAAGATGTTGCATTGATATGGAGTATTTATAATAAGTTTTTTTTTTAACTACATATTACTAACCTGGTCGAAGCTTTCCTTCAATAAAAGTTTAAGACCTTGTCTACATATTAACTCTCCAATTAGTTTTTACATTAATGACCGGAAAAATAATCTTACATTTAAGACCAATATTAACTCTCCAATTAGGTTATACATTAAAGACCGGAATAATAAATTTGTTTTTTTTGGCCAACATAATAAACAATGTATAAAAACATATATTAATTACTATATCTAGTTCTAAATGTAAGAGCTAGTTGACTAATTTGAGTAGATTAAAAAAATAAGTTAAGTTAGTTATTTGTAATAAATAAGTGTTGTCTTTCCTATAATATCCCTATTAATCAAGTTTATTGGTTGTAACTTGAAAAACGATAGACAAATACGAGAAATAAAGTAGATTGAGGTTTTATATTTAAGATCAAATAAAAGTCAAATGAGGTCTTATATTAAAAACAGGATGTAGTAATTATTAATATATGTATATATAATTATAAAATATAAGATTATGTTTTTAGAAAATAAATAATTGTTTTCAACAAAAAAAATTTACTGTAGGGGGTGGGGGGAGAACTGCTCAAAAAGCCAAAATTTTTTTTGCTTATAACAAAACCTTGGTTTTGATAGGCAAACCATAATTTTATCATAAAACCATGGTTTCAAAAAATTGATGGGTGTTTAGGTAATTTTTTTCCCAAACCAATCACCCAAATACCTTCATTTCATTTCAATAATCATGGTAACTGGTATCTTCAACAGGATAGAAAGTCCCTAATTGAAAAATTTATTAGTGAGAAATATCTAAATTAGAGTATCAATATTTTATGTATAGAAAATTTGCTGAGTGCTAATGTTTTTTGTTTACAAAAATTTGTCAAACCCTTCTCACCAACAAAATTTTTAATGAAAAACTATTTGCTAATTTTCCAAAGAAATATAATATTGGCCCCTTCGCTTCCTTTATTCTTGATAGTGAAGAAACTCAACAACTGAAACAAACAAAAGCTAAGGAATTACTTTTCTAGTCCTTAATGTAAGACTTATTCAACTAATTTTATTAGATTAAAAAAGTTAGGTAAGTTAGTTAATTATAAAAGATATGATATATTTTTCTAAAATACCATAATTATTTTTCTTAATATCCCCCTCCCCCACCCATTTGATTATGTATAGTTGAGGGAATATCAATATAGATCATTTAAAAAATATATATAAGAAATAGATATTACGTTTAGGACTAAAATCAACTTAATAATTAAATCTTGATATTACAAGAGTACATTATAGTGAAAAGCTATGGGCCTTTTTTCTTTCAAAAGAAGTGAAACATAAGACATTGGAAATAATATATTCTTCTTATATAAGGGTCTTATATTTAGAATCAGAAGAGTACGAGCATAATATATTTTGTAGTATCTTTCCACGACTTTATTTTAATTATCAAAGGCATGATGAACAATGATGCACCCTGCCTCATGGGAGTCATCATCCAATGGGCCTATAACCATAGGTAAAGTTTCGTACTACTTTTAGTTCTTGTTTTCCAAATTTTCTGTATATATGATAACGTAACAA